ATGAATACTGTAGGAATACTTCTCTGGTATTCTTCTAGACCATTTACAACTTATACTGACATAGGCCAACTACATAAGGAAGTGAATTTGAAGTATCTATGTTTCCCTTCCAACAGCCAATACAGTATTTGGGAAACGAGTGAAAGAAAAAGATAATGCAATTAATAAAAAAATCTGAAAGAACTTTATGCAAAAGTCTAGAAACAGGTCTTTCAAAAAGCTTAAGTTTGTTTTCACTAAACTTCTTTCTGTGAGTAAAACTCAAGCTCTAACAGTAGATACGCAAGAAGTAGTCACAAAAACAGCATCTTCATGAAATGTTAAGGTAATAAGCAAATGGAGAGGTCAGTTCTACTATCACTACATTAAGATACCAAAAAGAAAGGGATTTTCCAAGTACAGGGGAGGGAAACACGAAACATGTAGATAAAGCGATTTCTTATCCATCATCGTCAAGGAGAGGCTAGGAAGTAGAAGAAAGAGGCACTGTAAATAATGGTGTAATAAATAAAATCATCAAACAACTTTATTGCGGAATATTCTGTAAAATGACCAATTTAACCTACCATCAAAAGAGTGCTCATCTGCCAAGGTACTTGGTTAATGACATCATCGACAGATACCTTCACTATTCCTGGATACGGAAGACACTACCTAGTTCCTTTTTACCTGTTTGAAAGGAATTGTTGCACTGGTTCCGTCCATTGTTTGTCACTTGTCTAGACTTCTCTTTGACAAGGATCCAGAAATGTGACTCAGGGCACATAATGCACATACATTTTTCACATGCTACACACTGGCAGATTATGGGTTTCTGCAACCGAGTAACACACTGTCATCTAAGAAAATCGTTTACATGGCATCTGAAATACTACTAAAATGCTCAAAAGCACGTTACACATTTTACAATTTTGTTAAACATTGCACACTTACTGAACATAAAGAAAGAAGGAAAACATGGCCAGGACGTACTAAACTAGATTACAGATTTACAAAACTTTAGATAGCATTCAGAGAAGAAGGTGCTATCTGCACATTTCACACCGTGGCACATGTGAGGCTAATTATCCCCACTTCTACCAGGTGTCAGTTTATTGCAGCTGAGTGTGCACACTGGTCAGAGTCACTTCGTTTCCTGGAATCTATACTCCAGTTTACTTCATGCACTACTTTGTACTTAACAATACAATCAAGATATTAAAAAAGCATATTAATTGTAATATTGTCCTGCTTTCAGCTGACAGAGTTAATGTTCTTTCTAGTGATTATTGTATTTCAGATTTGGTATGAAAGGAATGTCAACAATGCATATTGTTTTAATTGTTGCCAGCTGATGTTTATATTTTTCAAGGACTTTTTTCAGCTGAGAAGGAGCCTCGACAGAACAATGGAATGGCCAATTGAATATTCAGCATGCTATGCAACATGTGGGGTATATAAATGGGATTAGCCAGGGGGCGGGTACTTGCGATCACTGCTTGGGAAGGTACCGATTGATTCACTTGGTGGTGAGAGTGACTCGTGTCATCATCACCATCATTGTTGTTGTTGTCTTCATTTTCCTTTTCTGTTATTGTTCTATTAAACTGTCTTTATCTCAACCCATGAGGTTGTTTTTTTTCCCCTTTCCCTTCCTTTCCCCCCACCTTCTGGGGCCGTGTTCCTAGCTGCCACGTGGAGTTAAATTACAATTAATGTATCACTATATATAATATGTCTTAAAGATATAAATTGCAATTAATATCTGACCCTTTATGACAAGGGAGGTGCTCACTTTTGGTCACTGTCATAAACTATTTAAGAAACAGTGGATCTTCTTACATTTCATTTTTATTCATAAAATATGAGTCAACTTAGCACCCCTAGTTTATAAGCATCAAAATTATAAAATACGACAAAATGAGATGTTTTAACGTACTGAAGATGCATACTGTCATAGCACCCGTGGAACAGGCTACAGCTGCCAAGTAATTCAACATTTCACTGAGGACACAGATGCCAATGCAGCCATTTCCACTAATTCAATAGTCCTGACTACATTTTGGCAGCAAATGTATACAGCTTAGTACTTTCATTTAGTTCACATCTAACAGGTGTATTCTTTATTGTCTTCTGCCTGTTTGCCCATTTTATATTTAGAGAAGTTCTTCAGTGCCAGCTTTTGAACAAATTCTGACAATTTAAAAAATATTCTTATTTCTTAATGAAAACAGTAAAATTGATTTTTATTTAGTTCTGCTCAGTTCTCCCTACAAGAGGAAGCAGGTTTAACTGAATATCTATTTTTGTAACTATTTTGTAATAGATTCCCACCCCATCTTGCCACATGCCTATACATTCATGTGCTTTTACCCTTCAGTAGTGCTCAGCTTTTATGAACTTGGCTTGTAAGCTAACAAAAATGCCAAGTTAGGACCGCAGTGTCCTACATAAATATAATACAATTCCAAAATACACAATTAAGGAAAAATAGTTATCACTGTTTTAGTTAGAATGAAAAGATTATAGTAATGGACTGAACAGAGGAGCAGACTGCAACAGAATTACAAAAACCCACCCACCAAAAAAGCAACTTCAAGACAGTTAACGTATCTGTCAACACAGTAGTTTCAGATCTGGTAAAACAGAATTTTCCAGCTAGCAGCTTTGCGTCTCTACTGTTAAACTGCACATTCATAAACAGACTTTAAAGAAAAAAAAAAGAAAAAAATCACTTCTACTCACTAAAAATCAATACAGTTCTGAGGAGAGGAAAAATTAATCTGGTTATACAATTATACAAAAATGACAAAATGTCTGAATAAGCATTATTTAAATATTAACAATCTAAGGTAGTCGACAAGTTCTGAAGAATTTATACAAAACTTAGTTTTAAAATTAACAGAAATTTTGTATTAATGAAAATGAGCCTTCTGTGTGACACTGACATATCAACACATAGGAATATGTTCAGCAGTAAACCCAAAAAGTTCATTGTTAGAACTCAGATTAAGACTGAAATCTATTTGATAGTACCCATTAGAATTTACCCTTCAGGAAGCTCTTAAAGCCAAGATTCACTTATCTTCCATTTGTTTTAAGGATGTTTGAATGTACCCTGAAAGCATTTGTTTATATTGCACCCATTTGTGTTCATAACTTCCTTCTTAGGTACTTAATAGTGAAAGTTATAGCTGAATTTTCTCCATGAGTTCTCTGCCCAAAACATGCATGGAAAGAGTCAGCTACAGCTGACATCTTTGAAAAGATGACTGAGTGTTTCTACATTCCACAAGATGGACACCCCTGAGAACATTCACGTATCCAACAGAGAATGAGAACAGGTATTCCAAAACATTTTTTCAACAGATTTGTTCATCTGACAAGTCATCAGGAAAGAACACATCAAGACCTTAAAGTGATGCAAGAATTATACCTTAATTTGGAAAAAGCCACTAGAAAGGGGGATTATAAAAAAACTGGCCATGAAAGCCAGCATCCACTTTTCAACAAGCTGTGCTTTTGAGGGAGGTCCCCCAAAAGAACACCTCTTCAGTAAGCTTGGCTTACTAGGCAATAGCTAATTCTAGGTTTCTGCTAAGAATTTAAAACTCCGAGAGCCAGGAAAAAAGCTCCTCCTATAGGGCATCTCTGAAGCTTGCTCAGAAACATTTCTTTATTTTGCTCCACTTACTTTGAGGGAGGAGGTGGTAGAGGGAGGAAAATATTAAAACCATGAATATTTTCTAAGTCATTCTTTCTAAAATTAAAAATACAGAGTGTGAAAACAAGTGCTTTGCAAAGATGACTTTCCAATGAGAAGAACACTCTATTTTGGCATTAATTTGTAGGATTTAAGCTTTGCCTTTTTCAAAATAAAACATATACCTGGAGAATCCTACCCTATCTTCCCCCCCCCAATAAAGACGAATTGCTTCATCCACTACATCCTTGAAGATCAAATCTTAAGCATGGCCTGTGGACAGGATGGTACTATTTTAATCAAAATTACTTTAAAATCAATACAGACTAGCATGGAAGCACTGACATTTAAACCCATAATATGGCTTTTATATGGATAATTATGCTTTACAGATAATAATCTAATGTACCTTCTTATAAAAGCTCCTTCCTCCCAGTACCTCCCTAGCCCCTTGCTTTTAAAACCTAGTAGAGCAAGAAAAAGGTTCAGGAATCAAATGGATAACTTGAGCTGAGTAATCACAGTATCTGTCCATCCAGCAGCAATGCTGCTTAAGGACTTCTCATTTCTACTCCACTGCATCGTACTGGCAAAGTGATTCCAGAAGGTCTATGGTTGGCAAGATCACAGAACTACTCCATCTAAAGAGTAACAAAATGGGAAGGAGCATGAACTTTCCTCCCAACTGAACGAGTTCCCTCTTCTGAGCCTCCACAAATCATCCTGCTAGCACAACAGGACTACAAAAGGAAAAGAGCTAGTTAACTCGGCACGACGATGGTGGAAATACCCTTGGAACTACAGCCCAGAAATCAATTCTTTCTGGACGATTTTCAGTATGGCATGCAAATTTTTTCCTCTATTCTATTTCTAGAATTCTATCAGCCCAAAGAAGCAAGTAAAAACAAAAGCAAATAAACTCCCCACCTCTTTTCTGATCTCATAGTTTTATAAAACCATGTAAATCAGGTTTCTTTAGCTATATTCAAATGTTAACTGCTCAGATTAGATGAAACTGCAAAGCATGCACAAAATCTGCAGATGTTTGATTCAGGTGGGTTCTGTGCATGTATGCACACAAACTTTATTTAGATAAAACTAATCCTATGTTACAATGCATCTACTGTATTTTTAAAAGAAGAAAAAGATGAGTATTTGGTGTCTCAACTTGTTTTTTCCTAATTACATAATCTACCGGCCAACAAGAAGTTTTCTTTAAGAAGTCTTAACGCATCACTGAAATATAAGCACATCTATATGTCTATTTAAGATGCACAGGAAGGGAAAAATGGGAGGGAAGGACTTTCTAATCACTTACCGAAATATAGGAGTATGACCAGGCTTTGGTTTGTTCCAAGTAAAGTGCGAAGGAACAGAAAGAAATTGGTCTCCGGGCAAATCTTTTTTCAAGGTGTGCTGAGATCCAGAGCAGTCATCTACTGGAGTTTCAAGGGATGACGATAAGTTACCCTGTTCTTCAGGACAGATATCTATTTTTCCAGATAAAGTGGCAGTCTGATCCTCTGAGGTCTTTCTTGTTTTTAGAGGAATATCAGTCTCTGTACAACACTGAAACGGTGAAAGGCCAGAATTAAGGCCTTGTACATTATGGATGGAAGTGTTTAGCCACGTGTCTTCTGTTATGCTTCCTCTGGGAGAATGGCCAGGTGATGGAGTTGGAGAATGGTGAGGAGAGAGAGAACCAGCATAGCAAATCTCAGCACTGGAGTGTCGCCGCTTCCCACAGGGGGATGTAGGTCTTGATGAGGGCCTTGATGTTGGTCTAGGGCTTAGCCAATTTTCATCTGTAATACTAGTTCTAGGAGAATGACAGGGAGACTGTCTAGGCGACAAGGCATGCCCAAATCCATAAGGCTGCTGCCAAGACTCATCACTGGGACCTCTCGGAGAACCACCAGGAGATGCCAAAGGAGAGCCAAGGGTAAATCGAGCAGCTGCTTCGTTTAGCTCTGAGTCTACATCATCATAAACATGGGAAATGGATTCACAAGAGGAAGCATCTGAAAACCAACTTCTGGACGAAATGCTGCTGGCAGGGCTTGGACTAAGGGATGATTCCCTATATGATGGCTCAAGAGGAAGATAGAGATGGTCCCGTGAAGGCCTTTCCATATACTCATTTTCTGTGCCATTTGTGTGCAATTCATCTTCATTGGCTTCAATTCCTTGATGACAGTTAGGTGAAATAGATGTAATTTGAATACTAGGGCACTCAAAGGGTTTGGGTCCACCTAGTGGACTGTATTTGGATTCCGGTACCTCACAAGTTCCTTCATAGTTCTTATGACTCTGAAGTCTTGTAGGCGGTGACAGAGGAGAGGAGTGAGACTGCAATCCATGGCGAGGAATACAAATTGGCTGATTTACAGAGGATGATGGTTGGTCTACGTTAAAGATGTAAATGGACGCACAGTCATCTGACTCAAGATCTAAAAACAAAATTAAAAAAAAAGGAACACAGTCAGAATGCAATACTTGAAAAATGACATAAACAATATCCTTTGCTACCCAGTTACGTCTTGTTTTACACATGCTAGACATTTCCCATTACACTAGACACACAAAATAATGCTAATTCTTAGTTTTAAATTTTCCCCAGCCATATTTACAGCTAAATATGACTACAACATAGTTTTCTGTTATAAATCTTGTTTTCAAGCAGATCCCACAGTTTATACACATCTTCAGCACTTGAAAATACAATACACATAGAAAATGGGTTTAAAATCTAGAAAGGAGCTAAGCTAGAACTCAATTCAAACTTTATATTCCATAACTACATTCCACTCATAATTAAACATTTTTAATCATAATCCGTTAAAATTAATCTTTTTGACATGAATAGGACTATGACACTTCATGCAGGTAAGCCCACTAGTCAATACCTACAAGTGCCGGAATATTGCATACATAATATTTATCTCCTTTAACGCTGGAAAGCATCTTACAGTGACTCAAACTTCAATGAAGATCATAAACAACTGAAAACATTCAATCCAAAGAGGCCTAATAAATAATATTATTAAAAATATTACAAAGAATCCTACACCAAAGATCTTTTTGGTTGCTCAGAAAATTTTCAAGTCCCCATCCCACAGAAGAGCATTTTTCAAGTGCAGTCTCATGAAGTTTGAGCACAAGTTGTTCAGCATCAAAAAAGACAAAACAAAATATTCTCAGATCTCACTAACTTATCCAAAACACAGGAAGTATTCCAAAGAAAAACAAGCAATTGAGAGGGAGTACAAGTCCAGTTAACAAAATCAGCAACTTTGCCTCAGAGAACTGAAGCAGAGTGTGTTGCTCCGCTTCTCAAAATTGAATTAATTGACAGTACAAGACATTTGTTTGAAACAAGAGGTTTTTTCTTATTTTGTAACCCCTATGCTTCCACTCTTTCTTTCCCTTTGTAAAATAGAGCCTTCCCTCTGTAATTACAGCAAGTATGCAGGAGACCTCAGGTAGTTCACTATAACATCTCCTAGCAGATGAAATTAAATGTACTCGAACCATCCCCACTAGACACTGAAAGTAGTCTCAAAAACTGTTAAAAATATTGTCTCTACAGCCTGAGTAACTTGTTTTAGTGCTGAATCACTTTGAGAGCTTTTGACCCATTACTAACATTTAACATCATCATTAAAATTATACAGTTTCTAGTGTTTTGTGTGTGGGGTTTTATTTTTTTGAAGTATTTTTTTCAGGAGTAGGGAAATATTATGCAGAAGCGTAAGTGTTTCTGCAAACTTAAATACCCCTGTGTCAAATGTGACAGTGAGACATCATGTTCATAGAATTATTTACTTATTTTCCATAAATCCGGACTGGATGACATTAATTGCATCTCTGGGTATTAGCTCTTTTTTTTTTTTTTTTAATAATGTTTTTTATCCTGAGTATCAGTAGACTATTAATACTTGTTTTAAAATAAATCTAGTCTCTCTCACGATCAGATAAAATATCCAGACAGGAAGCCATGTATTTTAGGCCTTTCCATGATGAAAAAATCTAGTATGTTAATGAACTCATTCTATTATCAGTTTCACTAATAGCAATCAGCTTAAAATTAACTAAAACCAAACCAAAACAAACCAGCATCTCCTCAGAGACAACAAGGAAGCATTTTCAAATAGAAAGCATCCTGTTACCAAAGAACGGACTATATTCCTCAGACTTTAAAAAAAAAATAAATGGCTGAAGGTTCGTGAGCAGGGAGCAGCTCTATTATTAATCTATCTATTTAATAAAAGGAGGCACTAAATTGACTAGTACTAGTAAGACTACTACTGTATAGTTTTATCAGCACTGTGTGATTTCATATGTATTACAGTCATATATAACAACTACCCATATTATATAATTACATCATTAACTACTATTATATGTGCTAAGAGCACAAAAAATTGGTATAGGTTAATTTCTAAATGTGCATACACTAAAAGGTTCAGGATACTCAGGAAGGACTATTTTGTATATCATACAAATAATTAACACAAGTCACGACGTGGCACATTATCAAAACTGCATTTCCCCATTCTTTCACTAAGATAATAAACATTTTTTAAAACTTTAATTGGAGGTCTTTCTTATTGCTGTTTCCCATCACAAAACATGAAATGCGGACAGTAGTTAGTTACAGGTTTTCCACATCTATCCTATATCCATGTGCAAGATCTCAGATGTCCATGTTTCCGAATACATTATTAGTATTAAAAGCATAGGTCAAGGGAGGAAAGAGGCAATCCTAATAAAAGCAATTACCCAGCTACTCAAAACTTAGAAATAAAAGTTACAGATACAGAAATTTTGAAATAATAAATGTTACAGGAAAACAACAGTTAGAAGTCTTCAAGTCCTATGCATAACCAGTTACTGTCCTTAATGGCTTTAGAAACAGTAGCAGCACAACAATAACCAAGAAATCTTAAAATAGTTAAGACAGTTCGTGCACTTTCAATGTCACTGGGATTTACAAAAAGCAGATGTACATTCAAAATTTAGGTTTCATGGAGTGAGGTGGAGAGATCAGACTAGCACAGAAATTATCAACACCAGCTGGGAAGAACCGAGGAAGACACGGAGAAGGCAGGAGAACACTCTTGTCACTCAGGCTGCTTTGCTCCCTCTCCACAACAAACAGCTTCTAACCAGTTTGGGAGTTTGGCGCCGTGCTCTCCCGTTGCCCCTCCCCAGCAGCATACATGCACACACTCAAAAAACAGGAAGCTAGAAACCTAAAGTAAGAACTATGCATCTAAGGAACACCAAATCCCAAAAGCATGCTTAAGACTGTGGAAACAATAGATTTTAAAGTCTAAATCGCCCAAACCATTTTCAGACACGATCAAGAAACAGGTAGATTTATTTTAGTTTGCACACACAAACTCTCCCCATTACGGTCATGTGTTAAAATAATGTGTTATTTACTCATCCAAATGACAACACTAGACCTTTACAAATCATATCATTAATGCTACTAGACTATCTGCCAATAATTATTTATGTCCTATTAAAGACTTAGAAAGAATACAATCTGAAAGAGCCCCCTAACCAATTTGAAGTAACTAGTAAACATACAAAGATGAATATAATTGGGTGAAAGAAAGGGGGGGGGGGGGGGAAACCAGCTGCAACCCCTAAAAAG